GCCGCAGCATAATGCTACCGTGGAACGACGTGGGGGGGGCGCGGATGGCGCGCGCGAGGAAGCTGACCGACCAACTCAGCATCAGGTTCGACCAGCCCGCGGCCGCGCACAACAACCAGGGGATGATCGCCTCCGCGTGCTGGGCCATGAGCAGCCGGGCCAACTCCACGGGCTACTCGCAGTCGCAGCGGGCGCTCGGGCGAGGCCTTCGCCTCCCGCACGTCTGGCTGGACAACGCCGGCAGGCTGCCCCTGCACGAGCGCATCGTGTCCAACGAGCCGTTCTCGGAGAGGATCGCCATCGTGCAGGCAGCGCAAACCACCATGCAGCACCCGGGATTCAATCAGTCCCTCTCAAGTGCGCTGCTGGCCCGATCTCGGGCAGATGGAGCTCGGCACGCCAGCGACGTCCACCAAACGGGCGACCAGGTGCACTGCTGGAGGGGCAACGGCAAGCCCGAGAGAGAATGGGCCTTGCAGTGGCACAGGCCCGCCATCATCATCGAGTTCGAGGGCGCGTCGAACGCGCGCGTCAGCCACCGCTCCGCGACCGCGGAGGTCAACCGTGGGCACCTGCGCCACGCCACGGCCACGGAGCTCGCTCCGCGGGGACAAATGCTGAAAGCGCTGAAAAGCAACCGGCCGCCTGGACCTCCACCAGGCGCCCCGCCAGGGACCTCCGGGCCCGCACCTCCTCCAGGCCCTGGAAGGGGCGGCGGCGCAGGCGGCGGAACCCCGCCGCCCGGTCCTGATAAAGGAGGAGACCCTGCTGGACCGGCACCGCCAGACGCTGGCGACGACATGTTCCTCGACCTGGCGGGGCCGACACCGAAGAGGCGCCCCCGCAGTGACTGCCGGCCTCCCGCGCCACAAGCGCTACCAGCACCCGATCAGCAGCCAGCAACCCAGCAGCGCAATTTCGGCAACATCGAGCACTCGGAAGCGGACCAGCGTGCTTATAAGTACGCCGAGTGGCTGGCACGCCGCCAATGAGACGGCGATTGCACAACCAGTGGAGGAGCAAGCGGCAGTGGGGGACCCGCCCCGCCGCCTTCGGGAGGAGACGCACAGCAGCCCCCGCCGCCGCCGCCGCCAGCGGGGCCGCCGCCGCCGCCAGCGGCCGCCGACCCGCGGGCGCCAGACTCAGCCTCGGGCGATGCTGCCGCTCCTGCAGCCACTCCCGCCGTTGCTGTCGCAGATTCTCGACCTCCTGAACCTGCCCCTCAGGGCCCGGTCGACGACGACATCGAGTCCGACGGTTCGGACATGATTCGAGAATTGGCCGAGTTCGCGGAGAAGCAGGCGCGCCAGGAAACGATGTCGCGGCGCCCACTGGACAACGAGAACCAGCGCGGCACCAAGACGCAGCGCCAAGTTCAACAGGATAACGCACCAGTGGCACTGCAACGTGACCACCAGCATGAGCTCGACCCTCGCGAGCGCGCTGCCAAGCGCAAAGATCTCTTGGACGATCTGCCCGAGGGTTTTAAGAGGCCGAAGGGCACGAACAAGGCCGACCTCTGCTTAGACAACTACTTCCAGAAGCACGCGGACGAGCTCTACGCAAGCACACGACCCCGCGAGGCACTGCTCACGGGCAACGCGACCGCCAAGAAGCTCAAGTACGACACGCTGAGCGCCACTGAGAAGAAGAACATGGACGCCACCATGAAGACCGAGTGGCCCAAGTGGATGGACTTCGGTGCCTACAAGAAGCTCCCGCCCAAGGAGCTGAAGGAACTCCTGCGGCGTAACCCTGGCATCCGCCCTGCGGGCGCGCGCTGGGCGCTGACCAGCAAGGGCCAGGACGCGACGAAGGCGCGCCTGGTCGCGCAGGGTTGCCCGGAGGACACGTCGCAGATCGGGGCGGGCGTGCCTGCAGGGTCTAGGGGCGCGCTGTACCTGACCCTGGCCGCCGCGGCCCAGAAGGACTGGGGCATCTCGTCCTGCAACGCGATGGCGGCCTACCTGCAGACGGGTAACATTGAGAGGCTGCTGCTCCTACGCATGCCAGCCAAGGAGCCCGCCGCGGGGGGCCAGGCCCGGAGAATTCGCGATGGCCACTGGCGGGATCTACGGGGCGCGCGACGCTGGGAGGCAGTGGCTCTGGCACAATCAGGAGGTCGGTGAAGTCGACCCTCGCTGCCGAGGGCTAAGCGGCTGCGCTACCCTCGAGGGATCGGAGACCAACATCTGGTTCCGACAGTTGCTGACCGAGGCCTCCAATCCCAAGACGGCGCTCAAGCATATCGACGCGCTCGCCGACAAGCGCCCCGGGGAGATCTACAGCGACAGCAAGGGCCTCGTGACGCACATCGCTTCAGATGTGGGCCAGTCTACTGACAAGCGGTTCCGTATCTTCGCCTCCATGGTCAATGAGGCCGTGCACCCCAACAGTGCGCTCAAGCTCAGCTGGATCCCGACCTGGGCTGTCGTTCCTCGGGGCTTGCAAACACACCTATGGGACCCGGCAGCCACGCGCTGCCATGCTCGCCTCAGTCCTGTTCACCTGCCTCGGCAAGGTCAAGGGACAGCCTACGCCTACGCGACTATGCCAGACTACAGCTTCTACATATGCATGTTGACGTTCGCGCTGGTCCTCGGCATGACTATCGGTTTCGGCATCTTCATGACGCTCTGGACGATCATGAGGCATAAAAAAAGGGATCGCCAACGAGGAGAGTGCCGCCGAGGCGAAGGCCATGGACGGCCGCATGCTCGACCGGGACGGCCGCATGCTCGGCCATCGCCGCAACATACCACCTACAACTCCAGAGGATCGCGATCACGATGGTGACACCACGATGTCCCACGCGGACGTTTTCAGCAGCGCACAGGCATCGAGCTCAGCAGCATCGGCTGCGATTCAACAGCCGCCGCCACCACCATCACCATATACTGCAACATCAGCACGGGGATCTGGACGATTAAGATCAGCAGAATCGCAGGGCAGTTCGGCACCCGCACCACCAAGCGTTGTTACCGTGACGAGTTCATCGGGCTCCGTGTCCGCCACATCAACCAGTGTTGTATCGTGGAACGGCTCCTCACCGACGGTGCAGCCGGATGACATGCTCAGTTGCGTGACTGGTACTCCCCATCATGATGTTGTCACCGGGCACAACCCGCACAGTGTATACATCACTTGCAAGACCTGCAAGAAGCATGCGTCGTGGCTGCTTCGGAATTATCATTTCGGCAACCCCGATGTCACGATTTTCCCGGAGAGTGTGATGAACGATCTCATGGGCCGCTGGTGGAACTCACATGCAGAGACTGCTGGCGAGGATCCGACCTGACGGACAAACTGGCGAAGCCAAAAAAAGAAAAGTGAACCCCGCTTGATTTTCGGACGGCAGATTGGCCGATCGGACCGGACATATTCTACTGCTCAGATTTCATACCTGGCTACTCAACGTAAATCCGCATTGCGGCTCAGATTTTGTATTCGGCTATTCATACGTCGGTCCGCATTGCCGCTCAGGCTTCATACCCCGCTACAGATTTATGTACTCCGCATTGCTGCTCAGACTTTACGCCCGGCCAAAGATCCACACGTAATTCCGCGTTTTTTTCATGAAGCGCCATTCGTTTCAGCGTGCATAGTTTTTTTATAGATGTGATGACGTTCACACACATTCAGCATTCAGATCTTTTCTCGGTAAGATGGCTATATATTTTGGGGTTTTGTCGTTTCGCGATCGAACTCTTGCCATCGCTAGCTCTGCCTTTGATTAAGCGCCAACGGCGCTGAGAGCTGAGTATACCTTGCATGCCGTGCAAGCCGTTCGCTTGCTATAGATTATATCGATCACCATCTCCCTGCTTGCAATGCAGTTTCCGGCGAGTGACTTGTTAGAGTCCCCGCTCAGGCTCGGCCCCGCGCCCGAGACGGCGACTAGGAGGAGTATGAATCAAGCTCACTCCCCAGGAATGTAAGAGGCCCGAGAGGGTTTCCCCCAGAAGCCTCGAGGGCCCTGTGGTTCATTCCTTGCTATCACCGCAGCGGTTGTATTTCGCACTAGGGCCCTTGGCCTTAGAGCTACGCCCCTCGCCGCGCGAGTAAGAAGATCAATCGCCAATCTTCAATATCACAAGGCGAAGAACATTGATCCAGTATTGGTTTTGACAGGCGGGATGGAACCTTCAGGATTGGGCTGCTATCGGCTAGCTAGGTTGCAGAGTAAGAGCATTTTGAAATAAAGAATAGGAAGGTGAAGGTCTGAGGGGCACGTGGGCCGGGCCGGGGATCTGCCCCATCCTGCCTCAATTCTGTCTTCGTCCCTCCTCGCGCCCCTCCAAACCCATCTCATCTCCTCCTCCTCTATCCTGCTCCATTATTATTCCTCATGCTTGTCGCCCCTCCGATGGCGGCACGAGGACGAAAAGGAGAATCAGCAGCGAGCACTGAGATGATTCGAAGGACGACGAAGAGGAGATAGAGAGAACATCGGATGATACTGCCCCAGCCCCTTCTGCATCGGACAAGCTACCCACATATCGTGCACAGATGACTTGGGAATCATCTCTGGCAGCCTGCCGATCGTCGTAGGAGGTGTATCGGGTGCGACGATCACCCGAGAGCGGTTTGGTGGACCGCTTGCTCGAATCGCAAGGCTGCCTGACATTTTCTCGAGCGAGGATGGGGCAGAGGAGGCAACCAGAGAGAGACGGGGCGGGCAGAGGGAAGGAGGGCAACGGCGGCGAGGAGGAAGAGGGGAGAACTGCGGCGAGAAGGGAGCGAGTCCGAACAGATGAGGGAGGAGGAGGAGGAGCGGGAGGAGGAGGAAGAGGAGGAGGAGGAGGAGGACGAGGGGGGCCAGGGGGGCGGGATGGTAGGACGAGAATAGCGAGGACGAGAAAGAGGCACCGGGAACAGGACGACGACGACGACGACAACGCCGGTGACTGCGAAGGGCGACGGCGACGGCGACGGCGGCGACGGCGGCGGCGTCGACGACTGCGACGAACAGGGCTCGCTGTGCGCTTCGGGGCCCCCGCCTCGGTCACCTCGTGCAGCCGCCTGCGCGCGGCGGCGGCCCGCTGGCGCAGGCCTCCCGTGCCTCGGCCCTCGTGTCCCCAACCTACTCCGATTTGCACCATGCCTCCTGCATCTCCCTCCCTCCCTCCATCCCTCCTTTCTTCCTCAGCCTCATCCCCCCCGTTCCTCTCCCTGTTCCTCATCCTCATTCGCACTGTTCCTTCTCCTCCTCCTCCTCCTCCTCCTGCTACTTCCTCTTTCCCCCATCCTTTCCTTCTCCTTCTTCCCGCCATTACTCTCCTTCCTTCCTCTCTCCTCCTGCTACTCGGTTTCCTCCCTATCCCTCCTCCCTATCCTCCTCCCCTCCGCCATCATCAACATCATCATCACCACCAGCATCAACATCATCAACAGCATCATCATAAGCATAATCATTAGCAAGCAGCATCATCATCTCCACCACCACCATCAGCAGCATCATCAACGTTGTCGTCGACAGCTGCAGCAGCCTTGCCGTCGTCATCATGATCATCATAATCAGCATCATCACCATCATCATCACCATCATCATCATCCTCATCATCATCATGATCATCATCATCACCATCAGCATCATGATCATCATCATCACCAGCAGCATCATTAGCATCATCATCATCAGTAGCATCATCATCATCGTCATCGTCATCGTCCTTATCATGATCCTCCTCCTCTTCCTGCATCTTCTCATCATCATCCTCTTCCCCACCACCACCATCACCACCACCCCCATCACCATGACCAGCATCATCCGCATCACCATGAGTCCCTCTTCGTCCTCCTGAGGCCTCGTCCTCGTTTGTCGTGGACGCCATCCTTCGCCTCACTTCCTGTTGCCCTCTTCTGGCCATTCCTTCCCCCCCGTTCGCCTCCTTGCACTCCTTCGCTAGCCACCTTGCCCCGAGAGAGGCAGAGTGGGATGGCGGGAAGCATCCAGCATGGGCTCCCCGTCCCCTACCAGCACCGCCGACGACGCCGGCGCTGACGACGACGCCGACGGCGCCCATGCCGACGACGCCGACGCCGACGACGGCGGTGCTGGCCCCCTCTCGCCTCCCCTCCTGGCCCTGGGGTGAGAACCCTGCGCGATGGCAGGCAGCCCCGCAGAAGGGGCGCACGAGCCCCTCCCCTGGAGAGCGGCCTTCTCTTACCTTTCCCGATCGCGGCCGTTTACCGGGCCCAGCCGACCACCCCCTGAGGTGTCTTAGAAATTCCGTCGCGAAACGTGACGTTACGGGCACACCCCCCGCTCCTCCCCCCCCCCACCCCACCCCCAGCAATGCCTGGAAATTACAAGAGCGCTTTCCAGGTGGCCTCCGAGCGCGACAGGCCGGGAGGCCAGAAGCGGGGCGCCAACCAGGATGCGATGCGATGCGATGCGACGGCCCTTGGAGGCAGGAAGGGGGGCCCGCCTGCTCCGGCATTGAGCCGGGCCGCAACAATAATGAATCACATATGATTACAGAAGGCAATGAAGGACAGTGCAAGATGGGAAGATGGGTGAGACAACAGTGGAAAGACAAGAGCACGCGTGGCTATGCATGAGAATCTATTGCAAGCGGCGCACAAGAGGAAGAAACACCATAACTCTGCAACATGATGTGCAATGGCGGCCTCAGAATTCAGTCCAGCGCTTCTTCTGCCCGCCTTGTGAACGGCGGGGCAAGAACCGATGCCGCGGAATCCAGTCGAGGAGCCGCGCGTTCCATCGGGTGTCTTCGCACAGAGCACCCCTGGCGGCAAGCTCCCGCTTGTACTTCTGTGAGAGCACAGTCCACTCTTCAACGTGGTGTTTTTTCAGCTAAGCCCAGGCATGCGTGAGTGGCGCGCCAGATGTACTCCACCCAATCCTCGCCCGGTCGCCACAGGCGCAGAAAAGCTGCATGCGGTCTGCCAGAGAAAGCAGGCGGTCGCAGAGCACTGACTTCAACTTTGTGAAAGAAGCCCCTCCAGCAAAGATTATGTTAGTCAGCTCCGTCTCGTGGTATGCGTCGAACGTCAATTTCCTTCCCAAATATTTCTCTGCTTCCCCGCGTTGCAATACTCGAACATCGTGTCCCCCGCATTGGGCGTGCAGCGGCCGCTCTTCTGCGTTCGTGAGCACAACCGTCTTCCCCATGTGCAACTTCAGGCCATAATTTCTTGCCTCTCTTTCGATATCAACGATCATTCGCGAAACATCTCTCATGCAAGTGCACGCTAACAGGGCGTCGTCGGCGAAGCGAAGGTTAGTGAGGGGCTCGGGTGGGTCATCAATCACAATGCCATAATACGGACCACTCCTTCTTGCGTTCAAACTCCCACCTGCGCTTCAAGGTTCTGAATATTGCCTCCATTACCACAATGAAAAGAAAAGAACTAATGGGGTCTCCCTGCTTGACCCCTCGCGTAATGTCGAACAAGCGGCTCTACTCTCCTGCTGAAGCTGTGGCCCCTTGCTTTGCGTATGACCTCTTCGACAAATCGATGTACCCGTCCGGCACGCGCTGTTCCCGCAGCGCCTTCCACAAAGTATCGTGCTCGACGGTGTCGAAAGCCTTTTCAAAGTCTACGAGCCCCATCCACAGTTCAGCATTGCACCCGTTGCTGGCCTCTGCAATTAAGGCGACGGTCAGCAGATGATCTATTGTGCTGAATCGTTTGCGATATGCCGCCTGGCCGACCGATTGGCCTTCTGAAATGGTACCGCGGAGCCTGCCGCACAAGAGTTTGCTGAAGAGTTTGTACAGGATGGCTAGGATGGCGACCGGCCTGTAGTTCGATGGCAAAGACGCGTCTCCTTTTTTGAACAGCACTGTGATGCGGCTCTCCATCTAGTCAGAAGGCAGACGTTGGCTCGGATCCAGCATTGCGTTGAAGGTGCCCAGGATTAGCTCGCGCAGGAAGGGGCAATCCACCATGGCCATCTCAGCTGTGACCCCCCTGTCGTCGCCGGACCTGCCATTCCGCATCTCCTGGATTGCGTTTCTCAGCTCATCTTCCGTGAAATCGGGCACCCGGTCTCCGCCGCACATCTCGTAGGAGGATGCCCTATTGCCTTGTCTTGAAGTAGAATACAAATCCTCGTAGAACTGCGCGAAGGCTTCGGCTATAGATGCTTTGTCGTGCTCCAGATCCCCGTTCTTGTTTCTCACCTCCGTGATGTGCGTCTTTTTGTTCTTCCCCGTGATGGCGGCCAGACGTTGTAGACCACGGAATTCACCAAGGATTTCTGCGATGTCGTCCACGCGCTGTTGGCTGAGCCTGTAACGAATCAATTTCTGGATGGCTTTCCCCCACTCCACGCGCAATCGTTTCTTCTCCTCTGGCGTCCGGTCTGATGCAGGAAGCTGCCTCCGCAGGTGAATGAGCGCGCGGATTTTGACGTCCAAGGTCGATGCAGGCGTCTCCGGGCCTTTCGCATTTGAACACGACCTTGTCTTGTCTCGGCCCGCCGCTTCCTTCATGCACCGGTTAATCTCGTCCATCTTGTCTGCTGCTGAGAGCGCGTCCCACCGAGTTTCCCGGAGCGCAGAGTCGAGCTCTTGGGTGTGCGATTGTCCTGGCACCCACTTGTCACACCTCCGTTTCTTCAGCTCGGGCCGCCTATCCACGACGATGCACAAATCAAGGCGCGCCGGTCTATGATCAGAGCCAACATCGACGCTTCCGTCCACAATGCACTGCCGAATGTGCTTTTTCAAACTGATGTAATCGAGTTGAGACCGGCGATCTGCGTTCCGGAAGGTCCACGCCTCTTCGGAGGCCGTTGCGAAAAACGAGTTTGCAATAACCATGTCGTGCATCAAACTCCACTGTGAAAGCAGATCCCCCCTTTCGTTCCGGATTGGCATCGGAGCACCGCCCATGAGACGAGGATCATCGTGTTCAGAACGAGGGCCAATCTCTGCATGGAAACCCCCTGCGATTAAAAACCGGTAGCCTCGCAACTGAGCGTCATGATAACGACTCGCCACTTCACAGTAGAGTGCTTCAACAAGTTCCTCTTCTTGTTCAGCGTGCGGCATATAGACCGCAGCAACCCTGATTACACCGAAGCTGTTTATTTGTATGTCTAGCGTTGCCGCCCTGTCAGACAAAGGCTGGAAACTCTCATGAACCCAACGCTGATGAAGTAGAAAAGCCACTCCTCGTGAGCGTCTGGTGCCGCCGCTGCCGAACCATCTGTGTCCGCGTTTCGTGTCCCACGATTCCACTTTCTGCTCACGCCATGTCTCCACAAATACTAATACGTCCCAGTGTTGATTACCCAACTCTTCCAAGCAACGCTCAACACGATCATCAAAATTCATCAACGAGTGCACGTTGTATTCATAAACGGTGAAACTTACGGAATACTTTGCCTCCGGACTGTTCTCGCCTTCTGGTGATGGTGTACTCCCCCGGGTACTCCTCACTCTCCCTGGAAGGAATGTTGCGTCCTAGAGCTTCATCGCATCCGCGACGGCATCCTTCAGCGTCTTCGCGTCCGCCCCGATACCGGCTTCGGCAAACTTCCCTTCGTACAGCTCTACATCGCCGTCGTCCACCTCCCCCTTCCATTCGCCGACTCGAATGCGACCTGCGAGAAGTAACCCCTCGCCGGTGGTCGACCCGAACTTTCTCACGAACCATGCTGCCTAGCTCAATCATCATTCTCTTGTACTTCCCGAGTGTCTTTCCGCGGATCCGCTCTTCACGGCTCTTTGAAGAAGATGCCCACAAAGCCTTCCCCTCAAACTCTGGCTTGGGTTTGCTGTTGAATTTGCGAACAAATTCGTATGAGAATTTCGGCGCCTGGAACCTTCTGAAGCCGACGCTGCCAAAGCTGTAGGCGTAGATCTCCTCGACGCCCTCCACGTTGGTCAGCATCGAGTCTCTGATGAAGTCAGTCACAAGGGATTTTTCGGAATCTTGAGGGAAACCTCCAATGACAGCGGTGCGTGTGAACTTGTCCGTATCCTCCACGTTGGCCGAATTCACGTTCGACTGCTTGCCTGGGATCCCCTTCATTGTGTCTGCGACGATCGTTTCAACATCAATCCGGGTTAGCATCTTTCCGCTCATCTCGTTCATCTGATCCTCCACCATGGTCACTTTCTCCATCGTTTCCTCCGCCCCCGCATGCGCCAGTCCTGCCTGCATCCTTACTTGTGCGAGCTCGTCCCTGACCTCATGAAGCTCTGCCTTCATTTCCTTGAGGTTCGTCTGCAGGCGTTTCACCAAACCGACGAGCTGGTTAAGCACCCGGCCCTGGGAGACAGCCCACCCTGGCACCTTCTCGTCCTCACTCCCCTTGCTTCCCCTACTCCCCTTGCTCCCTTCCTCCACGATCGAACTGTCCGCATCATCAACACACGCCAACTCTTCCCCCTCGGAGTCCACGTCGATCACGTCTTTGATGGCCCTGGACTTCCTCTCCGGAGTGAGCCCCGTGGATGTCCCAGACCCTGAACGCTTGGATGCTGTTTGTGCCGGCATCGCTCAAGACAGTGCAGCGGCTGTTACTGATGGCGAGAAGAGATTTAAGTACAGGGTAGGATGGTGTAAGATTTGGTGTAAGAGCGAGATAGCACTTGAGCGAGATAGCACTTGAGCCAAAATGGCTACGGCCTCCGCTGCCTCCCTTCTTCTGCGGCAACTCGTGGGAGCTTCCCATGCCATCAGGGCGACGAAATTCTAGGCCTCCTAGATCGGATCGAAAGATCGCGACGCATCGCCGATGCATCGCCGATGCGTCTCGATGTGGAGCCCGGTTTGCTTTACGTCGAGATCGCCGAAGAATCGCCGACATCGACGATGCGTCGCCGATGCATCGGCGACCTGGCGCGATCCTGGGCGCTCACACGCGACCTTACGCAGGCAGCTCACGCGCCCGCATCGGTGAAGACGACCCCGTTTTTTTGTTGCGGCCGCTCATCTCGCTCTCGCGCACCGACGCGAGGCGACGCTACTCGACACGCGAAATCGACGCCAATCGGCGCTCATCGGCGCCAGCCGACGCTGGATCGACGCTCATCGACGCCGGGCCTGCGCGGCGCGGCGGATGGGCCGCCCGTGCCCGTGGCACGGGGACTCCGCGGAGGCAGCGGCCGACCATGGGGAAGGAAGGGGGGAGGAGCAGGAGGAGGAGGGAGGTGAGTGAAGGAGGAAGGAGGAAGGGGTCTCCTTCCTCCCCCCTCTGGGTCAACTCTTCGTCCCGAGTGGCTTCTGAACGGGCCCAGGGGCAAGGTGAGGGCCCCCAGAGGCCGAACCCGGCCCAAAACTTCCGTCCCGATTGTTGGTCACGACGCAGGCATGTCTGACGAGGCGAGGGCTGCGTGTGCCCCTTCCTCTCGAAAAGGGCGCCCGCTGGGCGCGCTGTCCGGGGAGTTCTGAGGGTCCTCCTCGTCCTCCTCCTCGCGCCCTCCCGCTCCTCGTCCTCCTCGTCCTCCTCCTCGCGCCTCCTCGTCCCTGCGGTCCTCCACATCCTCCGCCTCAGCTTCGTCCTCCGCCTCGCGCCCTCCCTGCGCTCCTCCTGCTTCCCCTTCTTGTCCCCATTCCCTCCCCTGGGAGGTCCAGGGAACGGTGAAAAATTCCTCCGTGTCCTGCGCCTTCTCCTGATCGCCCGTCTCCTCCCGACACCAATCCTCCTCCCGATCGCTCCTCCTCGTCTTCCGCCGCCTCCAAATCGCGTCCTCCCTGCTCCTCCCTCTCCCCACCCTTCCTCCCTCCCTTCTCACGGGTCCGCGAAACGTGGCTGATTCCTATATAACAAAGAACGTGTTGCTGCTGGGCCTCCTCGAAGCTGCCCCAAAACGACCCCCAAACCACCTGATGGCTATTGCATGTGCGCCTTCAAACCGCTTCGTACGGACTTGTTGCAGCTGACCAAGTCGTAGCTACCCCAGCCACCTCATGGTTATGCGACGATGCTCGCTCGAAAACACCGAACACATCACGGTGAACGTCGAACTCTGACACACCAGGGTGTTATCCAGCTGCTACCTGCAACGCGGCGACCCCCACAAGGAACCGGTAAATAGGGACTTCGACAAAAAAACGGCATCGGCACGGCATACCCGACTGAACTACAGCCCTGGGACGGAAATTCGGTTGACCTCTCTACTGGACCTTGCAGAGGCCTGGTTTGCGATGTCCTGGCTTCCAGAGCTCGGACCCACTCGTGGGCGGGAAGCATGTCCATATCCACGGCCTCGCGAGCACGGCCTGTGAGCTGCGACCACATGGATACGGGGCGTTTTGGTTCGCGGATGCCCCGAACGGAACATAGGAATGCGACCCCGTTTCTGCGGGATCGCACCACGGACTCCAGACCGCGAGGACGTGGATACGGATATGTTCGCTGCTCGTGGCCGAAGCTGACACTGCTCGCCCCTGCTGTGCCTCAGACTTCTCGATTCTACATCGGCCTCTGCTGGCGACTGGCCGGGCTTGCGGAGAGGCGCCCGAAGAGCCTCCCCCACCCAGAGCGCCCGTGGCCCCAAGGCGCCTCACTTCCGTGTCGGTTGTCTTGAGGCGCACGTCCAGCTGCTTCTGGGCCGGGGCAAACACCCGAAAACACCGCGCGCCGTGCACTGCTGCTCCTTCGCCTCCTCTCCTTCCCCCGCCAGGGGCCGCCGGAACCTCTGAGCGCCTCCGGCAAAGCCCCGCGCCCCCTCCCCGCCCTCCTGCTCCTCAGCCTTCTCCTCCCGGGCAGTCCGCGCGGGCGCCCCAAAACGCCAAGGCGCGCCGCAATCTCCGTGCCTCACCCACCTCCGCCTCCTCCTCCTCCTCCTGATCCTCCTCCTCCCCCTCCTCCTGCTCCTCCTCCTGCCCATCGTTGTGCATGCTGGGGGAGCGGGCCCTGAGCCTGACCGAAGTAGGGGGTCAGAAGAATCTGGCGCCCAGCGCGCGCGGATCCGCACACAGTAATTACGGAGGCAGTGCGGGCAGCCAGGGTGTTTCGCATCCAGCCAGAGACCGACCCGCATCCAGAGGGGGCACGCGCCGAGATTACGGGAGCAAAAGAACACCCTGGCCCAACCTCACCTGGCTCCCCCTCCCCAGAGGGAGGGGGGGCAGGTGAAGGTAGGGTCAAGAGTTCTCTCCTCCTAGGTCGTTACAAAAGTTCGTCACGTCTCATGGGTGCGTCAAGATGATGCAAGTTTCGTCCGTCACTTCCGCGCGAGCGGGCGGGCGAAGGCTGACCCCTGCCCCGACCGCGCCAAGCTGCCCCCTTTCCCCCCCGTAGAATCCCAGCGGGCTGGGTCAAGAGCGGTCGGATCAAAAATCCAGGATTTCTGAATCTGGGATCCCTCCCATTATATTAAAAGTTTAAGAAAAAACGCAAGATCCCACTGGGCGGGATCCCACTGGGAATAGAAATCCCACTGGGCGGGATCCTGCCGTGCCAACGCAAGATGACTACATCTCAATTCACGACTCAACTTTTGCAACGCCGATGTAGGCAGGCAGTGATTGGCCCACTCCCACCCTCCACCCAACCGAACCTCAACATATTCAGCGGTCGTCTTTGGATGGACAGCCACCAGGAACTAATACAGACCCCAGGTGCGCGACGCTGGGGCGAAGTGCGCCGCGCGTGCCAGGCGTGCCAGGCTCACCAACGCCCCTGAGGCCCATGCAGGAGATTATTGCACAATTATGTTTTGAGATGCGCATTTTCGCACGCATGGGAGCCTGTTTATGAATTTTCTGGGATGGCGGCCGTCATCGGGCCCGCCACCCCCCCACCTCAGATCACGTCACCTTCCGCGCCGGCGGCGTCCGGGAATGCCTACGGATGACCGAGGAGGCCAAGTAGGAGCTGCATATGGGTGGCGATCTGCACCACAGCGCCTGTGTACACCACAGTGCTCGCGTGCACCACAGCGCGCGTGCAAACCACTGCGCCTGCGCGCCACAACAGCCGTGTGCAGCGCAACGCCTGTGTACACCACGTTGCTTGCGTGCACCGCAGGGCCTGTGTACACCACAACGAATGTGCACACCGCAGCAACACACGAATGTGCACACCACAACGAATGTGTACACCACAACGAATGTGCAACATAGCGCCTGTGTACACCACAGTGCCTGCGTGCGTACACCACAGCATCTGCGAGCAACGCAGCGCTGGTGTACACCACAGTGCCTGCGTGCGCAGGACAGGTAGAAGGAACAAGTAGGTGAGGATCTGCTGCGGAGAGCTAAACGCCACGCAAAAGAAGCTTTGAAAATGAATGCAATGTTTTTCCCTCCTCCCTCCTCCCTCCTCCAGCTGCCGTCCCGGCCGGAGGCTTTGGGTGCAGGTTCCAGGAACCTGCGAGCCTCTCGGGACTGCCGCTAGACGCGCCGACCCGCCATTCCAGCGTCTGGACGGCCGTGCCCAACAGGGGACGTTCGCCACCACGCGCCGCACATTCAAGCCAGCGTGGCACCGCCGCCTGAGAGCACAGAGGGGGATCGCCAGAGCGTTCCTCCGCATTGCAGCAGCTAGAGAGTTGCTCGACCGACACCACAGCCAATGGCGCAGTCCAGCACCAACCAGCCAGCCAGTCGTCCTCAAGCAAAGTTTTGGTCATGCAAGCAAGCGCCAGAGGACGAACATGTACTCCAGCAAGGAGTGCAGATTCTGCGTGTCGGAGCCAGACAACAGCAGAGACAGCGTCCCAGACGAAGTTGACTCGTCGCCGCCGTGGATATACCAGTCTCGCACGAGGAAGCCACAGTGGTCCGCGAGCTGGACTCACCAAAAGCAACGGTGGCAAGAAGACGCAGGAGGAGGACCACGCCCGAGACGGGCCAGGTCAGCACATGCTCCTAACAGGAAGTCGAAGGACCAACTCACGCCACCGCTGCCACGTCCAGCGCAGCCGGAGGAGGCGATGAAGCATCGATTCTGGTTGCCAATGCCCACGTCGAAGAAGGATTTCATCGCGCTCATCGAGACCAGTTGAAGATCTGCCTCGACAGACTGAAGAAGCCGATCAACAGCGCCTACCAGATCGGTCAGAGATCAGCCCGCATTGCAGAGCTAGAGCAGGACTATGCGGTCACCCTGCACATGATCATATACGCCAGGGATCCGAAAGCACGCACGGAGCGGCAGAAGGCATATTTTGACATAATCAGGAAGCGTTTGAGTGACGCCCAAGAGCGGAGGACCAGGCGCTTGACGAGCACAAGAAAGCGGTTACCCTCACGCAGGCGCTCTTCGAGGATGTGCACAGAGGGCAGAGGACCTGCTATCTCACTTCGAACGCCTCGAGGAAGAAGAAGAAGAAGAAGAAGAAGAAGAAGAAGAAGAAGAAGAAGAAGGAGAGGAAGTTATCATGGATGACAAACATGGCCAGGAGCAAGAAGTGCCACCAACGCCGCTAGCAGCTCCCACATCGGCCAATCCACCGCCCATGGATGCCAATCAGAGTCCAGGTCAGACGGCAACCACAGCAGCGTGCATAGCAGCCATGCAGGCCACCAACATCGACTTGGCAGCCCAGGTCAGCGGCCTCGCCACCCAGATGGCGAAGATCCGGCAGGCCCTCGCCGCGGTCGTCAACAGCGCAGCGCTGGCACAGCCAGCGGGGCAGGGCCAGGCACCGGCACCAGCGAGCCAGCAGGCCCACGCAGGCGCGGCTCCAACGCAGCTGGCAGCAGTGCCGGTGCCATGGCCGCCTCACCCAGCACAACGAGAAGTGGCAGCACCAGGTGAACATGCAGATGCGCCAGCAGAGGGGGCGGTGACAACGCCCAGACCAGGAAGGGCGGCATCAGCATCAGCCAAGCCAGCAGACCCCAAGATCACCCCAAAGAAGATCAACATGAGGATCGCGGTGAACAAATCAGCCAGCAAGCGTGTCCCAGGCAGCGTCCTCAAGGTCGCCTTCGACAAGGGCAGCGCCCGCAGGGCAGCGACCGACGATGACGACATTGACGAAGGCATGGGAGACGAGCTAAGTCCACGATCGGCCCGCCAGGGCCAAGAGGATGAGTTATGACAGGAGGAACCATGCCCCACCCCCTCCACTGGAGACGGAATCCAACCTAGGTGGAGTTGTTACCAGCCCCATCCCCAACCTGGCGGATACCCAGGACCTTCTCAAGAAACGATGGGTATGGTAACTACTTACCGATACGGTCGCGTACGCTAGCTTCTGGCACTCAGCCACCATTCCAGGTCTTTCCAAGCTGAGCCCTGACCCAGGCATCCCACCTATGCGTCTGGATATGTGCACGGACGGCACAGCTGGGGGATTTAAAGATTGGGATGGGAGTACTTGCGCGCCAGCATGGTCCTTTGTGGTCATCGATCGCATCATACTCTGAGCACACATGGTTGTACGGCTACTTGGGAGGTACTCTAAGTCAGCACAAACAATATACCCTACATATCTACACTCCGCTGCTGCAGAATATGAAGCGGGTAACTGGGCTACAGCATAGCTTATCAACACAGCAAACAAATTTCAGCAGCTACCGCTCGTATGTATACATACGGGCAACATGCAGGTTGTACGAAGTGCCTCCATCGGTGCTCCCAGTGGCCCCCTCAAAGACCCCCAATGGACCCTGGACAGCATGGTGCAGATACTGCACTACATATATTCCGACCATGCATGGAACGAGATGGCAGATACAACAGCACGCCTAGCAGCCATGCACCAGCTTACTCTCCTACCTGTGCCGAGGTGGAAAGCGGAGCTCGACCTTCCATGGCATCAACAAGCACTGAGGTGGATGTGGCTGGACTACTTGGCCGTGGAGCGACGCGCCCAAGTCTCCGCCCGCCTCAGGCACACCACCTGGGCCGCCGCTCAGTGCCAGGGTCTGCCTGCAATATGGGTTACCTCAGCATACTACACACCAGTGCGAGACAGTTGGCAACTGTCCCAAGATCTAGGTTGCCAGTGCGAACGCTTCCGCCTTGTATCCTAGCATGTGGGCTTAACAACTAGATGACAGGGGTCCAGGGCCAGGAATAATTACGCAACCAGCAGGCAGCTTTGCAGCGCAGGACTACAACACTGCTGGGGTCCAGGAAAACGAGGGTGCCGGTACACAAGACACAACATGTGGGATAATACAATGCTTCACAGCCAACAGCCACGCCAGCGGGTACTGAAGGAAGCGCCATGTGTATCAGACAGCACATGGAATACCTGCCGGGTTGTACCATCAGGGAAGACATGTGCAGGGTCTTATACGCTGAGCCGGTTGGGTTCCTTGTCTCCATACGGGGACCAAGGATTTCGCTCAATATTGCAGCGCCGCACGCTCCACATTCCAGAGCAGGACGTACAGCGGACGCATCATAGGCACGCTTGCAGGAGTGGTGGACAGCCACCACAACACTTGTGCAGCAAATGAGGTTGGGGGCGGTGTGATATGGCAATCGGGGATCTGATCGCTGATCTATCTTCTTCGGGCGTCGAACACTGTCGTAGCACTGAGGCCAAGGGCCCTTCGAGAATAAACAGCGGCGGTCGGGATAAATACAAACAGAGAGAAACAGCGAGGAATGAAACAGCAGGGCCCTCGAGGCTTCTGGGGAA